CCATTTGTCTACAGCGATTGTATCGGGAAGGTGAGCACACAATGGTATGATTTTTTTGTTTTTTGATGTCTGATACCTGATTTAGGAGGATTTTAACTGGAGCCCGAAATCATACAGTGGTGAAATGAAAGAAAGGGGAGAGAGATGGCTAATTTAGGGAGGTGAGGAGGGAAAAGAGGATACAATAAAAGTAATGATAGTAATAAAAAGTGACTATCTGCTTAGGCCCTCAGATTTGGAAAAATAGACTTTCAGAGGGGTAATCAGAATAGGTTTCATGGAAATATATTTCACAAGGAAAAAGAGTAATGGGTGAATATGCAGGGAAAGGAGGAACAAAAGAGACCTAAGACTCAGGTGTAACTTGGGTGTGGGTACTGATGTGCTGTTGCTATGGCAGCTTGAATGTGCACTCAAAGGGGGGTGGGAGCCCTTGTTTGGATGATTGTGCCAGAATCTACAGGTCTGCCTATGTTTGCCTTGTAGGGTACAGGAGAATACCTATTCCCAGGTGAGTGAGTTTTCTCCAGAAGAGGACTCCAGAAAAGGTAGTAGGAGAGAACTAGAAAAAAATAATAAAAATATTATCATAAAACAAAAGTACAAAACCAAAAGAAAAGAAAAGTAAAAAATACTGTGTGTTCATATGTACTACATGGGATAGGTAGGGCACAATAGTGGAAAAAGAGAACCAGATAACAAAGCAAGAAAGGGGGAAATGAAAGCAAAATGTGTAGCTTAAGGTGTAGCTTGTACTGAGAATATCTGCACCAAGGTTCTCATGCAGTCTTGTATCCACCAGAGCCCCCCTCAGAAGTGAGCAAGATAAGGGGCTTCACTGGGTGGGTTGCCAAAGGGGCCTAGAAAAATCACCTGTACCATGGAGGATTGGAGCTCACAGAAACACCTCATGCCACTGGTAAAGGAGAGTCTGTCAATGAGCATGGCCACGCTCCCACTTTAAGAAAGTTGGGTCTACTTAACTTTTAAATCAAATCTCTCACTGCCAGGAAATGCAGAATATCTCTCCTAAAGAACCCTCTCCAATAGATGCTGAGAAGATCGTCCCATGCTTGTTATCTGGCAGCAACATCACCTCATGTCTCTCCTCTCCTCTCTTCTTCTTTTCCTCTTCTCTCTCTCTCTCTCTCTCTCTCCCTCTCATTTTTTATATACTTCAAAACTTATTTATCTTCGTCCTTTAGTATGCTTGTTTTGTATTTTGTTGGATTGTTGTAGTGAGCCTTTTAGGTTCCCTTCTTCTTTAGTGTATTTTTTAAAATATATTTCCTTATGCATTCCACAAATATTACTTTGTTGGTGTGTTGGTGGTGGTGGGATTAGATGCTATCAACTCAGTTATGACTCATAGTGACTCTATGTACAACCAAACTCTGCCCAGTCTGAACAATAACCATTGTTATTATGATTAGTGGTTCCATAAGTATTACAAAATAAGAGTTCGTATTTATAGATTCTAGTCTAAATTGGTGCCAAGTTAACTTCAGTAATATATAAGAAATTTTATAGCTATCCAATTATTTTCCACTCTTCTTATCATTAATTATAGCTTCATATTTCGCATGCCCTATAATGTATTTATCCTTACCGTTTGTGTATTTGTTATTTAAAAACATGTAGGGAAAAAATTAGAATTTTCAAACTAACTATCCTTATCCTTGTATACTCATTTACCTTTATGAGAGATCTCTTTTTATGTATAGCTTTAAATTATTTTTCAGTGTCTTTTGCCTTCCATCTACATAACTCCCATTAGAGTTTGCTGTTATTGTTCTGTTTTTGTAGGGTTGTTTTGGTAGATAAAACTCTCTTGGCTTCTGTTGGTCTGAGAATGTTTAAATTTCATCCTGCTTTTTGAAGAATAGAATTGTCAATATAGTTTCTTGATTGGGTTTTATTTGTTTTTCTCTTCTATCAATATTTTATATATATACTGTATTCGTCTGGGTACTTTAGAGAAACAAATCCACAGAAACTCATGTATAAGAGAGAGTTTTATATAAGGGTAAATGCACATCAAGAAAACATCCCAACCCAGTGCTGCCCAACCCCACAAGTCCAACATTAACACATTAACCCATATGTTGAACACTAATCCACAAAGTCTACCTCCATCTCACAAAACACACACAATGATGCTGAGAAAAACTGAGTCAGTGAATGTGTAAGCATCTCAGCACTGGCAGGGGTCTCCACATGGCTGCTCCAGCACTCAGGGCTGCATCAGGGTAGGTCTATGCGGTTTCTCCTTGGGGATGTCTTGCTGGAAGTCAGCCTTGCAAGCTGAAGCAGGGAACTGTTAAGGCAGCTGCACCCTGGTGCAACCATCACAAATCAAGAGAACGGAGAACTTGAACGGCTAGGTTCACTGAGTCATTTATTCCTTCACCCTTCAATTAACCCCACATGTGTTTATCAGCCAGGTTTACACAATAAACTAACTCATATACCATCTCATTGCTTTCTCCAATGTTTCTTGGGGAAATTTTGCATTTAATTTTTGGGGGGATAATTTATAAATGACTATTTGCTTCTCAAGGAATCCTGGTAACAGTGAATTATGTGTTTGGCTGCTAACTATAAATCAGCAGTTTAAACCCATCAGCAGCTCTAAGGGAGAAAGATGAGGCTTTCTACTTTTGTAGGGATTTAAAATCTCAGAGACCTACAGAGGCTGTGCTACCCTGCCCTATAGGATTGCTATATGTCAAAACCAACCCAGTGAGGGGTTTGTTTGTTTGTTTGTTTAGTTTGCTGCCCTCTCACTACTTTCAAGATTCTCTCATTTTTGAGAATCTACTTATGTATATTGTTTCGAGTTTACCCAATTTGGATATCTTTGAACTTCTTGGATTTTTAAGTTCATGTACTTAATTAGATTGGGGAAGTTTTCTATCATTACTTCTTCAAATATATTTTCTATCTCTTCCTCTCATTTTTATTCTGGAATTCCCACAGCGAGTCTATTAGAGGAGCTCTTGTTCTCTCATAATTACATTAAATTGTTCTCAGCCTTCTTAAGCCTCTGAGAACATTTGTCATTTTAACAATTATATCCTCAAATTCACTGATTCCTTCTTCTGTCTGATTAAAATAGTCAATAGTTCTTTCTGTTGTGTTTCTCATTTCAGTTATTGTCTAATATCATAGCAGCCCAGCAATTGACAGTTATTGGTTGGGGGAGGAATAGTCACACTCAAAGTGGACTCCCAGGGAGGTCCACATCGTTAATGTCACAGCCTGCCCCTTAGCCTATTCACTGTGAGTATAGCCTCTTTGCAAGACTTCTGCTTCTAGGACAGAGGAGCCTTATGCACCAGTCTCAGCACCAACTGGCAGTAAAAGCAGGCTAACTAAGAATGATCCCAAGAAAGTTTTGTATTGTTGATTTCAAAGTCCAGAGTTACAAGGTACACAGAGGGGCTATGGGAACAGAGTCCACTGCAGAGCCTTTCTGAATCAATACATAGCCCAAATAGACTTTCAAGGAGACCTGGCTATTAGAGCCTACCCTTTAGTATGTTGACAGAAGATGTAGGACTACAAAAGATACATATTTCTGAGGAAACAGCGGTTTCAGCCAGTAGCCATCAACACTTGGAAGCAGACAGACCTGAACTGATTCCTTGATAAATCTATTCTGTTGGTGTCAGAGGGCTGAGCGATGGGTGGTATAAGAAAGCCAGTATGGTGTTTGTTAGGAGGGCAAACCCCACTGGCTGGTGCTTTGGTAGCAATTCATAGTGGGCTTGCAACAGTGTCTGGATGGGGTAGGTACTACTATACTCCAAAAAAATTCGCAAGGAGGTCTGCCATGTTGAATTTAGGACAGGCACTTGGGGTCCTGTTTCTTTGTATAGGCAGGGTCTATAGTGGTTAGGAAAGCAAAGCTCTTTTTCTGGAGCCTCTAATCCATTTCACAGCAACCCAAGAGGTTGGGGGAGGAGCAGGGATGGTAAGAAAAGCAATTTCTATGCAGCTCAATTTTTGAGTTGTTCCCTTTGTTTGCAATTCCTTAGGGCTTTCCTCTGCTTCACTTCAAGTCAAACACCACTCCCTTGTTATTTCTTGCTATATTTGTTGGGGAGGGTCAGAATGCTGCTGTATTTTTACTTTCATCTTCCTAGAATTCATTGTAGGGTCTTCAATGACTGATTAAAAAAGAAAATAGATAGCCTGACCTTTTTTTCCAAGATGTCTCTGAGTAGCCTCAAACTTCAATGTTTCAGTTAGCAACTGAGTATGTTAACCATTTGCACCCCAGGGGGTCTTCTGGATAAGCCAATTTCAGGCTACTTTTCCCTTCACTTTGTAGTTGGCGCAGAACTTGAGCATAGTCTGAAAATTAGCTTTGCATAACTGTTACCATAACCAGCTGATCTGGTAAATTCTGCCAAACAGTAAATTAACCTGTGAAGAGATGAAAGATCAGTAGAACTCCTCATTTGTCTTCTATAAATAAATTTAAAAGTAGGTGCAACTAATATTAACTGAATGTTCACTATGTGCCAACCCGGTGGATTTTGCTTGGATTATTTCATTTTTTACAACAGCCCTACGAGGGAAGTATTGAACTACCTCCCACCATTTCACTGTTGAGAAAAGCATTCCCTGGGTAGCACAGACAGTTAAGTGCTCAACTACTAGCTAAAGGTTGGATGTTCAAACACCCTTACAAATGCCTCAGTAGACAGGCCTGGCAGCCTGCTTCTGAAAGGTCAACCTTGAAAACCTAGTGAAGCAATTCTGTTCTACAACACATGTCATCAACATGAGCTATAGTCAACTCAAAAGCACCTAATAATAACAGGGAAAACACTAAGGTTTAAAGAAATACAATAAATTCCCTAAGGTTACATATCTCGGAAATGGGACAAGCAGGTTTTGATCTCATGTTTTCTGGCTCCAGAACCCCAGTTTTTAACCACTACACTTGTCATTATATACAAATACAGTCAAAGTATACTATTTGGATAGTCATGTCTTTGATCTTCTTTCCGTCGAAATGGATATGTTCATGCCAGTTTTCTCTCTCTCTCTAGCTCCATCTTACAGGCATACACAGCGGGGGATGCCTTCCCCCACAAAACAGAAAAGCTCCACTCATTGGATTGGGATAGTGCATTAGGAGTTCATTCTACCAAGTCAAACTGTTAACCAAGCTTTCTATTTAAAGCTTCTGAAAATATTGCATAACAGTGTGAGACAAAAAGCTCTGATCTGTGGCAAATGGAAGATTGGTTTTGGCACCACAATGCACCTCCTCACATTGCCATCTCAGTGTACCAGTTTTTGGCAGAAAAAGCATGCCTCTCTTGCCCCATGCACTTTACTCACCTGACCTCACTCCTTGCAACTTCTTTCTGTTTCCATGCATGAAGAGGCACATGAAAGGACAACGATTTGATGATGAAAAAGAGGTGAAGAAAAAACGAGGGAGGTGCTGTCAGCCATCCAAACAGATGAGTTTGAAAAATGTTTCCAAGAATGGAATCACAGATTTGACAGATGTATTAAGTGTAAAGGAGAGTACTTTGAAGGTGATAAGGCTGTTTTGTAAAAAAAAAAATTTTTAAGTAATATATAGCTTTGGGGGGAAGAATCCGGGTTTTTTTGGATACCCCCTCATATGGCTGTTAAAATAAATTCCACATAAAGTAGTGTTCATTTTATACCAAGTTGATCACATTGTAAAAACAATGTAATTTTCCACTTGGTACTCTTCATTTCAATATATCAATATTTTCATTTTCTTAAGATATAAGCACCCCAAACTGTTAATTATTTACAGAGGCTTTATATAGAACCACTGGGTATTGCAAATAGTTAGTGTGCTCAAGTGATAAATGAAATGTTGTAGGTTTGCGTATACTCTGACGTACCTTGAAAGAAACACCTGGCAGCCACCTTAGAAAAATCAGCCATTGAAAACCCTATGAAGCACAGTTCTACTCTGATGCACTTGAAATCATCATGAGCAGGAGGCAACTTGACGCCAATTGGTTTTTTAAGGTCCCCAATCCATTGGAACACAATTTCAGTAGGCAAGTTCAGCAATGGTAAAGTAACTTAAAATCAGCTGGCTTTCCACCTGAACAACTGGTATTTGTAGCACACTCTACATTGTACCAAGTATGTGAGGCAGACCGTGCTGTGTGGAGTCACCTACCTCTTTTGTTATGTGTCAAGTCTTTTTCAAATCCCTCATTTTGCTTCATGACCTCAGGTCTTCATGAAACTAAAAATAGAATAAACCCTATTGTACTAGTGTGATCTAGAAACACCATAGAGCTGGCTCGAATTCCAGCTGAGCTGAGTGACCTTGGGCAATTTCCTAGGCTCTTTAGCATCTCATTTTCCTCATCCATTGAATAGGATAGCCAGGTGATACGTGATTTCTAAAATCCCTTCCAAGTACGATGTGCTGTGTCTCAATAACTCCATGAAAATATCCAGACCCAGAGTTCCACGGTAGACTATGAGCACGTGCTTCCTGAGCCAAAGAACAGACTTCAAGAATTCTAAAAAAGCAATACCGTACAGAAAGCTCTTAGTACCGTGGAAAAGGAACATCTTGCTTGAGAAACAAAAATATGTGGAAAAGTGAGCATGGTGATAAAGAAAAAATAAATATAAAAAACAGTAGTATTGGCAGAAAGAGTATTGGCCTGGTGATCAGAGAAACCTCACCTCTGCCAATTTACCAGTTACATATACTTAGGAAAGTAACTGTAGCTGTGTACTCTCCAGCTTTCTTCATTATCATGTGTACAATATAGTATCTACTTCATGGGGCTCTCACATGTATAAAACATGCTAATACTGTCTTTCTCCTAAGACTTACAAAGGATGATTCCGGTGAAGCACCCCGTAGAAGCCTTGAGTCTCTCGAGCCTTATGCTCTCGGTCACCCTCAGAATTGGGCATGGCTGTGAGGGTTAGGAGGAATTGAGAACATAGACTTGGGAGAATGGGGAGACAAGTGAATCCAGGGGCATCTGGCCCACTTATCAGTATGGATTGGAGCCCTCACGGGCAGCAGTTGAGTAGTACAAAATGAGGAACCCAATCATGAAAACAGGATTACAAAGGATGAAGACAGTCAAAGTCAAATGGCAGTGGTCACTGGGATATTCCAGGTGCTGGAAAGAAAGTCTCTCAAGAGAGTTGGAAAGAGCTTCTTAGGATGTCAAGGCTTAGGCAAAGGCTGCGGGGAAATTCAGTTAGGACTCTAACCCAGGAAGCAAGTAGAGTGAGTGAATCAGAAGGTGGATCATACAAGTGAGACTGTTTGAGTGGGCTTGGGGACAAACTTGAGTTCAGCTAGCTCATGGGTATACGGAATTCACTCCAGTTCCCCACGCTCAGTGGACGTGTCTACTGGGGGCTCAGTGGAAGGAAGCATGGCTCACAGGACTGTGGCTGAGGGCACGGACAGAGCATCAGAAAGAGGCTACATTTCTGCTCTCTTGCTACTGTAAACGAAGGGAAAGAGAGCCGTGCTTCACAAGGGTTCCCATTGCTGCCTAACAATGGGAGAAATGAGGCCTGCTCTCTTAAGAGTAACACCTGTCCTTTCTTTTCCACCCTTCCAGTGAAATACAACCCAACAACACTGTGCAGTGGGAAGAAGTGTTCCGTCCTTGGGTCTCTGGCCCACGGAAGCTGATGGCCAGCATGACCAGCGACACCCTGAGACACGTGTATGGCGAGCTTGACTTGGAGATTCAGAAGCAACCTGTGTAAACACATGGGAGACTGAGATGCAGCATGCACTTGGCCTCTTGTAGCATTGGCCAAGGATCCTCTAATACACAAATAATCAGCTCTTGCTTTAAGTTAGATGCAAAGGCCATACAGTTCTGGCTATAACCCTGCATTGGGGTGCCTGCTGTTCAAATACACACGTTCCCAAGCCCACAGTATTCTGAATGGAAGTTAGATTTTAATTGCCAGCTTCCAAAGGATTCTGAGCATTAGCTTTAATTAAGCTCTAATTAAGCTCTCATAGCTCATAAGTGTAAAAGTCATCATTTATCATCTCAAATGACTGCAGCTTCAAATATCAGAAGACTTCCCTTAGCAAGGAGATTTGCTCAATACCTGGCCTCATTTAAAAGGACTTCTGATCCTTCTACTGATCGGTAACACATTCCCCAAAAGGGAGGAGACCACCTGATTTGGTTTGTCAAATTCTATCCCCTTTTCTTAGAGTCAGGTTTTAATCCTCTGTGTCAGAATATTTTTCCCCCAAATTGAGAACAGCTTCATTTTTCTTCTTGGCAAAGTCAAAGAAAAGGTACTTTATCTTGCACCTGCAGCATAGTGAATCCCTGCCAAATTTCACAGATTTACCTTGTGAAAAGATGTGGCCCCATGTGAACAAATTGCATTTGTGGGAAAATTAATCACCTAAGAAGATATAAGAAAGCAGGTGTAAGCAGGAACTTAGCAAGAGTAATGAGTACCAGAGACTACTGGTACTCTCTAAATTGCACGCGTACACACACACACACACACACACACACACACACACACACACACACACACACACACACACACACACACACACAAATTTGAGCACCCAGGGTAAATCTCTCAATTGTGCCCCCTACCCAATTTCAAGATGAAATTGTAGATATCAACCATGGGCCAGCAGAATTTCCTTTCCCATTCTTGCCAGCTGCCTCTGTCTTGCATATTTGGGTGCCGCCTTAGAACAGATGCCACCTCTGTAACCATCCCTCATTCCATCTCTGCTTCTCCTGCTTCAAGAAGGACAGCATTCCTGTTCACTTTCCTGGGATAATAGAGAAACTGCTCAGCACTTTCTCCCTTAGAATGGCATCCATGGCATGCGCCATCCTTGCCACGCCTTTGTGTGCACTACTCAAATCTATTAAATGTTGTAGTTTCATGGTGCATTTTGCAGGAGCTCAGCAAGAACCAATATCCTCCACATTAACCTTTTCTGAGGGATGGTATTGGGAAGTATTCAGAAGCTGGTGTGGAGCAGGCAAAATGAAGGACTAGTCATCTTCATTTGCAATTGTTCTCTCTCCTTCTCCCACCCCTACCCCCTACCCACTCTTCCCCTCCCAGCTTCTTTCTTCTCTCTCTTTTCTCCTTCTCCCTCTCTCTCTACCCCTCTCTGTCTCCACCTCCCCCCATCCCGCCCACCCCTGCTTCTATGAAATAATCTCCTTTGAACAACAGTGCAGGCCTAGGTACTTTAGTCAAGATAGAAAAACTCAACACTTTGGAGGAGCTAGAAGATTGAGTGAAGAGGGATGTGGGAGAACTGACAATCCTCTTGTGTCCTTCACGTGCCTCATGGTGAGACCTCAGCTGAGTCCTCAATGGCTGAAAAGTAATATGGGCTCAGCCTGGCAAGTAGCCATTGGTTTCAAACCCAAGGCCAGAGGACACTGACAGCACTTGTATTGTATGCCAAGTCTTCAGGAGACAAGGCTGCCTGGTATTTATTTGCAAGGCTGATTTATCGTCAACATCTCTAGGTTGATCTGTCTCGAGTGTGATTTAGCTTACTAGACGGTGATTCTTTGCACAAAAATAAAATAAAATAGACAGTAGGAAAGCAGCTGGAGGAAAACCAGAGCAGAGTGCCCTGATCAGTATAACCACAGTTTGTTAGGTTATTGATACTCTTCTGAGCCTTGCCTCTCACTACAGGTTTACCATATCTAACTCTATTAGGTAATCTCATGGTGTTTGCCAACATTTCCAATACCCAATGTTAAAATGAAATGCATTTTGCTAACTACCAAGCTGACTTGCTTTTGTGTATGATTATTAACTAGACGGTAATCGAAGTATAAAATAAAGTTAATCTGACTGTGCTTGTATCCACACAGAAGGGAGCTCTCTTCCATTTTAGTATAACATAATACTAACGAAAAGTGCTCAGAAAATCTCCCTCAACAGCACTGCCACCATTCCTCCCCAATCCCACCAGATAGAAAGACAAACATGTCTCCTTCCAGGGAATTCCTCTGCTAGGTATTGATTGCACAGTTAGCTTCACCCTCTTCTCTCTACACATCAATCACACTCACTGAAGGAAGAAGTTGGCATACTTAGTTCAAAAACCAGCTACAGACAACTGATCTTTGACAAAGGATAAAAAACATTCAAATGGGGAAGAGAATTATGATATCTTAACTAGTTTACTGTTATATCTAGGTTCTAGTATTTGTTGCAATGGCTACACAGAACTCACTGACAATGATTATAGGGTTTAAGGATGGTCACAGGCTGTCATATACATGAAAAATGCTCAGGGCAGTTGTTCTGCAGGTATGTTGCCAAGTTCTTTCAGGGCTGCTAATGAAGGCATACAGGGCATGCTATTCCACTGTGAGTTTCAACACAAAGACATTTCAACTCAAGCCCCTTGAATCAGCAAACCCAGCTTCCTGAATTAATTTCCCAGAGGTACCCACTACCAGGTAACCACAGCCTGCGTGCACTCAGCTCCACCTCCACAGGTCAGCTAGCCCCGTTCTCCTATTCAAGTACCCGAAGACAACTTACTCCACAAGACATCTTCCTGTTCAAAAGCATTCTGCTTTCCTTGCTCATTGACTGGGGAGTCCACCACTCTGTTTGATACTCTGGCTCTTGGTTCTGCTGCTGCTCCTTGGATGTCACAGCTGTCTTTTAAATCCAGGAGGCCTACTGTGCACAATCTTGGAGGCCAGAAGATATACACCACTCCTGGATCTTGCCTGTAGTAAGATCAGCTTCTTAGAGGGCTCAGTGCATACCTAATAGGATGACATTCCAATACATCATGTTCAGGATTACTCACCGGGTATTCCCATCAGTACCCTCCCACACATTCTTACCCAAATCAATGCAAGAAATGTCTTTGGGTGGGATTTTCAGAGACTTTGGCTAGGAGAGCCACATTAAGTAATTCACTGTCTCTGCAGATAGTCTCTTGAACAAATGATGCTGGCAAAAATGGATCTTCATCTCCATGGATCAACAGGATGCATACCTCAGCCCATACACCAAAGCAAACTTCAGATGGATCCATGACCCAAATGTCAATCCCAGAGCTAGAGACCATCCATGAGAAAATGGGGACAAATGTAAGGGCCTTAACAGAAGGCATAGGTACATGATGAAATATAACAAAGGAAGCCCACAGTAGAAGCAAAAGAGGTACTCTCAATAGATTTTCTAGAAGGATATAGAACTACCAAGGGGGACTTATAGGAAAGTTTTAAGAAAATTGAAAGCTGCATTGGTGAGAAAAACAAAGAAACATGAAAGTTGCAACAAGTAATTTTTTGCTTTGTTTTCACATCGTGACAGTGCACCTGTGCTTATTCTATGGTAGTAAAGGCGATCCTAGGGGACGTTGGTTGGGAAACCTTACCTCCTCCACCCTAAAACATTGATCTTTTCCCTTAAGACTTCTTTATTTTAATGTTCCCTTAGTTTTTGGTACAAAAAGCACAATTTGAATCCCTAGAGGATGCAACAATTGCCATTTTGCTGTGGTGTAAATCAAAGAGCACAGAATTCTTCAGTGTAGGATTAGAGAGATGAAACATTGACTTTCGAGTGTACAGCACACAATGGAATACTAGGCATCCCTAAAAACAGTGACGACAGAATGAAACACCACGTGACATGGAAGAACCTGGAACCCATGATGCTGAGTGAAGTTAGTCAATCACAAAAGGACGAATATTGTTTGAGTCCACTACTATAAGGAGAACACCAAGTAAACAAATCTTGGGGACCAAATCCCAAACAAACAGGTAGGAAGTCTGCTGACCAGACATGAAGCATACATTGCCTACTTGACATGAACCATATACCATCCCACTTACGTGCACTTCATAAGAACCACCTCTAAAGGGGAAACATTACATTAGCTAGGATCACTCCTTCAAGAAGGGGGGAAGAGAGATGACCATCCACTTGATGCTATACACACTGAGACAAAGCTGTGACAAATCAACAGGGCCTCCACAGGAATGAGAGGAGAACCTTACTGGAAAATCAAGTGAAGATCAAGGGAGGGGAGAAACATTTTTACATTTCATAGGAGGAACTTATATTTCTGTTACTAGGTATGATGGGTAAATGGGGAGGAGCAACCTCACATCAGGAAGGGATGCTAAACAATAACTGTAGGGGACCTAAGGGGAGAATAAAAACTGCTTTATAATCCTGGGTCAACACTTTGAATAAGTGTGTACCCAATGTGTGATGAACCACATTGTGGACTAAGCAGTCTGATGACCTTAGAAGCTGGCCTTACAGGGAACATGGCATCCCCCAAAGGCCACACCAGAAGCACTCGGCGTGGAAGCTTGACTGAATGAACTGGACCCTACCTCAAAACTACCTGTACCCTTGGACTTAGGACTAAAACTCCCGGATGAGAGAGGAAGCAAAAGGTAGCCACCCCCAAACTGGAAATGGCGGGTGTTGGACTTTGGATGGGACCTTTGGCTTAGTGGGCATCCAATAAAAGGGGACCCAGAACCACCATATATTTCGTATCTCAATGCTCCTGTCAAAGATCTTCCCTGGTAAGAAATGTTACATCAAATTTACCCCTAGCATCAACCCCCATACTCAAAGTAAACAGAGTTCAATGAATTCAGAAATCAATCTGTATAGAGCAGCAACTTATGGATTGCAGCTCACAGTTAAAATATACTCCCATAAACTCCTCATATCAACAGTACCTTAAATGTATCTACATGACATTAGATAAATTATTTATGCTATCAGTGCAATCGCTTTATACTCCTGGAGGATGAGTGACAATGTTTTTCTTTTTTGTTTTGATTTTTTGGGGATTTTGGAGGTTTGTTCCTCTTTCATTTCTGTCTGTTTATCTGTCCCACCCACCCCCACCCCGCCCTGCCTTTAGTTGCTCTGTTGTGTTTTGTTTTTTTTCCATAATATAACTGTCAGAGAAAACCAGAGTTGCTCATATCCCATGGACAAGCAGGTGGATTCTGGGCTCCCACTTAATTCTCATCCCAATCCAAGAACAGTTTGTTCTTATAACATGGCCCTCCTCCATACTCACCTTTATGAAATGATCACTGAAGATAAGGGTGCTACAGCAAAGCGTGGTGAAGTAAGCAGATGGTGCCCAGCTATTGAAATAAAGTCTGCAGTCTTGAAAGCTTGTATTCAAATAAGCAGCTGTCTAAGTGAGGCATCAACTAAGTCCATACGGGAGAAGAACACCAGCCTCTGCAATCCAATGATGGTAATAATAAAACCCAAATATGATGAAGGAAAAAGTATATGTGTTCAAATTATGAACACTCAATTTGTAGAAAGCTATGGAGGGCAGTGGGAGCCCCAGATCTACCCTGCAGAGTATCTAGTCAGATTAAGCCTCTGGCAGATCTCCTCTGCTGACAGGTGAGGGACTCAAACAGCTTTACTGTCAGACAGAAATTATTGTAAACTTGATTATGGTTGCTCAAAACACGGT